GGGGGCGGACACAGGGGGGGGGGGGTCATTCTGGTGTCTATGGAAAACCTGTTTGATATATGAAGGTCTAAGCAGCACAGGCGTCCCGTCTCCACACGCCGTAGCAGAGTGCATGCACAGCGCCCTTCCTGCAGCCTACAAAGATTGCATTTATTTACTGGAGGACGCCTCAGCCGCCTCAGTCTCTGACTCTACTCTGTTCTGAGGCTGCGGGCCCTGTGGGGGGTCCCTCAGCCACGACTTCAAAGTCCCAGACTGGAGGTGAGCCCTACGTGACCGCATTTTTTAGGTTCTGATAGATGGAACCCCCATGGTGGCACGAAGCTGGGCAGAGCCAAGAGTGCAAAGAGAAGAGCGAAGAGACGTTATAAGCGGCTTAAAGGAAAACTCCACTCCACCGGCACCAACACACAACTCTCTGAGTTGAAGCGTCAGCCATGTTTTATGGGCAACAAACAAGCAGACGTATGTGACAAGAGTCTGGTACTGTGTTTGCCGTCCAATGATGCAGAAAGATGTGTCCAGGGACAGCGATCTATTCCAAAATTCACTCTTATATAGGTGGCCACAGACAGGGGATCTCGTCATCCATCGACTGTGTTCAGACTGTCGTAAGAACTTCTCACCGGCAGCAATCTGAGATCCCGGGACACACATGGGATAGTAAAGTGTTAAAGGGTAACAGAACAGCAGACCCAGCGCTATTTCATATTGCTGGTAGTGGTAGGGTGTGCCGCCCCAATGGGGCATAGACTATGTTATTTGCATTAATGTAGATGAGAATTTATATAGTTGTTTTCTTTGAACCATTTTCCTATGGAGATTCTATAGTACGTTATATGCTGCCATCTAGTGACCCTTTGTGGTAATTCAAATGTTTTTCCATGTTCCTTCCCTAAGATCTATGACACATTTCCTTTGTATGTAATGCCCCACCCTTCTTCCTGAGTTTAGCACTTCCTGTGTCATGGATGCAGCTACAGGCCACATGTATCAGGGACACACGTATTCCACATAGTACGCTACAAAGTTATCACCTTTTGACCGCATAATACCGCAATCATTTACCTGCTGTTATCATGTTGTCTAATGTACAGAATAAAGCAACTCTTGTGGATGAAAAGGTATTGGTGAGTTCAGCTATCTGACAATGATTGTCCTCAGTGATTGAATCTGCTTATACAGGCCGGGCATAGAGGTCTCAGCAAGGGATAAGTCATTAGCACAACAATCGGAGTCAGAATACAGGGCACCACAATATTTAGTGTTTATCGTTTCATTGGCCTAAATATTGTTTGTGGGGGAAAACAAAATCACACCAATATATGAATGAAGTAACCTATGGTTCCTACAGACACTAGCTGGTGTATATGTCTATGAACGGGGAGAAGCAGCAAGCACTGTACGTACAAGGCACATTCTAGCGGCGTCCCGCCTGGCTCTTGGCAACCACTGATGTCACTAGTTGCCAGCAACAGGGCGGGATGTTGCCAGGGTGTCCGCAGTTGCTAAGAGCCAGGCGGGGAGATGTGATTGGAAAAGGGGTGGCCCATACACATCTCCCCGCCTGGCTCTTAGCAACTGGGGATGCTCTGGCTGTATTGTGTTACTGGTTGCCAGACGGGACACAGCTGGAGCATCCCTGCTTCCTATGGACCGGGTGGGGAGATGTGTATGGCCCTTGTACATCTCCTTACGTGGCTCTTAGCAACTAGGGATGCTCTGGCAGCATTGTGTTACTGGTTGCTTACTGGTTGCCAGGAGCCAGAAGGGACGCCGTCGGAGCATCCCTGCTTCCTATGGACTGGGTGCGGAGATGTGTATGGCCCTTGTACATCTCCTTACCCGGCTCTTAGCAACTAGGGATGCTCTGGCAGCATTGTGTTACTGGTTGCCAGGAGACAGACGGGAAACCCCCGGAGCATCCCTGCTTCCTATGGACTGGGTGCGGCGATGTATATGGCCCTTGTACATCTCCTTACGTGGCTCTTAGCAACTAGGGATGCTCTGGCAGCAATGCTGTTACTGGTTGCCAGGAGCCGGGTGGGATGCAGTCCGAGCATCCCTGGTTGCTAAGAGCCAGGCGGGGAGATGTGTATGGCCCTTGTACATCTCCTTACCCGGCTCTTAGCAACTAGGGATGCTCTGGCTGCAATGATGTCACTGGTTGCCAGTAGCCGGGTGGGATGCCACCAGTGCATCCCTGGTTGCTAAGAGCTGGGTGGAGGTATATGTATGGGCGAGGGGCGTCAAGAGAAAAAAAAAAAGAAATAAAAAGAGCCCAAGGGGAGTAAAAAGAAATAAAAAATTGAATAATGACAGCGGCAGTCTGCTGTCTCCACGGGTCGCCAACCTTTCGCTGACCCATGAAGCGGCCCTCCCCCATTAAGTGTTGCCCAAGGCATGCCTCATATGTGCCATACCCTGGATACACCACTGGGGGCTGTGCTGGGGAATTGACTCTTCCTGAAGTAATCACATTTTCTATTACGTTAGAAGGCAAAACTGAATACAAATTATTTATGGAAAGGGAATTCAGGATTTACATTACTCGACTTTTCTGCATTTCAGTCAGTTGGTGACAGGGTCCCTTTAAATTGGTATCCTCCCTTAAACTTTTTTTGCACACTTCCACATATTGAAAAAAAAAAGCTATGTCTTCGGGTTACAAAGTGCAAAATTGCTGTTTGATGTGCACGGCGCCATCCGTGAGTATCACTGCAAGCGCCATCATTGTGATTTGTATGCCGGAGACCCTGTGAGGAGTGCAGGGGGACACTATACAAAGATACAAAGTAACACTTTGCTGTCGGTTGTTTCGCTCTCTTCGGGTTACAAAGTATCGTCCAGATTGGAATAAATGAGAGACCGGCAGGAGTACATATCCCTCATTTTAGTGAAGTGCGTCCTTCAATGTACCACTGATCATGGGATATATTTTGCGTCCATCTTAAGTACAAATAGCGTTCAGTGGAGTCGCTGGTCTTTCGGAGAGGCCCCCCCCCCAGGTCCTTTCCCCGAAGACCCTGTTTGTTTTGATATAAGCAGCTGGATTAGTTGGGGAATGAACAGCTGAACAAACCCATCCGTGCCAGAGGAGTTGTTGAAGAACTCTCAGCAAGTGACGCCCCACAGGGCTGTGACGCCGCGGCCGATCGGCGGCTGCATGTAGGCGGCGGAGCGTGGAGAATGGGGCATTTGAAAGGCCGGGGCTGTGCGCTCTCTGCGGCGGCGGCATCCGAGGGCCCTGAGTGCAGGACAATAAAAATGAATGCCCCTTTGTCCCTCCGGCTGGTGATAATTTGTCTCTCTACGGCTAAATATTAGTTTTACGATATTGGCAGCAGCAGCAGCCGCCGCCGCGCTCGCAGCAATCAGGAGTGTTTGTTCTTGGCAGGAAAATCAGCACAAATTCAGCTAGAAATCCTATTTCATACCCGGCACCTTCTGATTTATTTACTGGACAGGAATCCCAGCAAGGAGTACATTATATGGGGGAGAGTTCACCTACTCACTACCAGCTCCACGCCAAGATCCAGCCGGATCATCTGCCAGGAACAATGACGACGCATGAGGTGCTATGAATGAGGACCGACATCGAGGCATGAGGTGCTATGAATGAGGACCGACATCGAGGCATGAGGTGCTAGGAATGAGGACTGACAAGGAGGCATGAGGTGCTAGGAATGAGGACTGACAATGAGGCATGAGGTACTATGAATGAGGACTGACAATGAGGCATGAGGTACTATGAATGAGGACTGACAATGAGGCATGAGGTACTATGAATGAGAATTGACAACAAGGCACGAGGTGCTATGAATGAGGGAAGACAACAAGGCATGGGTATAAATGAATGAGGATTGACAATGAGGCATGAGGTGCTATGAATGAGGATTGACAACGAGGCATGAGGTGCTATGAATAAGGATTGACAACGAGGCATGAGTATAAATGAGGAATGACAACAAGGCATGAGGAGATATGAATGAGGGAAGACAATGAGGCATGAGGTGCTATGAATGAGGATTGACAGTGAGGTATGAGGTGCTATGAATGAGGATTGACAACAAGGAATGAGGAGAAATGAATTTGGATTGACAGTGAGGTATGAGGTGCTATGAATGAGGTAAGACAACAAAGCATGATTATAAAT